CTCTGACGTCGTAAGCACCACGAGGATCACTTGTGTTACTATTAGGGGAAGTGACGTCATAACAGGGAGAACCTCTGACGTCATCACCTGAAACCAAAGTGACGCCTGTCAACAACGACCAAGAAAAAAAAAATTATTTTTTGGCACAGTGCCGCCACTCGCCTCACGACTGGCACCTCCACAACAACAAGTGACTAGTCACGACCTTCTCAAGCCTACAAATGCTGGAAAGGCAATTATAGTCACATGTTAACATTCAACTCGTCAAATTTACAACCTCTTAGACTCCACAAACTTGTATACTCCTCCTCCTCCTCCTCGTCCACATACTCTTCCTCCACCACTTACACCTCTTCCTCATCTACCTACTCCTCCACCTCCTACTTTTCCTCCACTTTCCACTCCTCTTCCTCCAGCTACTCCTACTCTTCTTCCTCCACCTCCTGTTACTCATCCACCTTCTCCTCCTCCTAGAAAAAAACCTTACCTAGTTATTTCACCATATTGATGCTATTAATAACAGAGTGTGTGTTTCTATTTGTGTACAGTTGACACATCCTGTGAAAAAAATGTTCCTTTGTTATAAGACAAGGGACACACACACACACACACACACACACACACACACACACACACACACACACACACACACACACACACACACACACACGAAAAGAATTAGAGGAGATAAAGAAGATTATGAAGGGATATATCGGCAATGCAAGAAAAATAGAAGGAGGGAGTGAAAAACTGAGAACCAGAAGGAAGGAGAAGGAGGGGAAGGAAGAGAAGAATGTACAAGAGAAAAAATGAAGAAAACCTTTAATGGCCAAAATTATAAAGAAGACTAGAAACTGGAGGAGGAGGATGTGGTGTAGGAAGTGGTGGTGGTGGTGGTGGAGGAGGAGGTGGTGTAGGAAGTGGTAGTGGTGGAGGTGGTGGTGGAGGAGGTGGTGTAGGAGGAGGATGTGGTGTGGTGGTGGTGGTGGTGGAGGAGGAGGAGGTGATGTAGGAAGTGGTGGAGGTGGAGATGGTGGAGGTAGAGGTGTAGGAGGAGGTGGTGGAGGAAGAGGAGGAGGTGGTGGTGTAGGAGGTGGTGGTGAAGGTGGTGATGGTGGAGGAGGTGGTGGTGTAGATGATGATGGTGGTGGTGGAGGTGGTGAAGGAGGAGGAAGTGGTGGTGGTGTGGGAGGGTGAAGGAGGAGGGTGTGGTGGTGTGGGAGGTGGTGGTGTGGGAGGGTGGTGGTGTGGGTGGTGGCCGGGTGGTGGAGGTGGTGGGTGGTGGAGGAGGTGGTGGTGTAGGTGGTGATGGTGGAGGAGGTGGTGGTGTAAGTGGTGGTGGTGGTGGAGGTGGAGATGGTGGAGGTGGTGGTGGTGTAGGAGGTGGTTGTGTAGGTGGTGAATGGTAGAGGAGGTGATGATGATGTTGGAGGTGGTGGTGTAGGTGGTAATGGTTCAGGAGGTGGTGATGATGATGTTGGAGGTGGCGATGATGATGATGTTGGAGGTGGCGATGATGATGTTGGAGGTGGTGGTGGTGGTGTAGGTGGTAATGGTTCAGGAGGTGGTGATGATGATGATGTTGTGAGTGGTGGTGGTGGTGGTGTAGGTGGTAATGGTTCAGGAGGTGGTGTGTAGGTGGTAATGGTTCAGGAGGTGGTGGTGTAGGTGGTAATGGTTCAGGAGGTGGTGGTGTAAGTTGTAATGGTTGAGGAGGTGGTGATGATGTTGGAGGTGGTGGTGTAAGAGGAGGTGGTGGTGGTAGTGTAGGTGGAGGAGGAGGAAGAGGAGGTGGTGGTGGAGGAAGAAGAGAGAAAAATAACGAAGGGATGCCACAAACTCCTAAGAAAGAGAAGATGATGAGGAAGGCAGGAGGGGAGAAGTAATGGGGGAGTGAGGAAGAAAAATTAGGAGGGTGAGAAATGAAATGAGAAAAATGTGTGGTAGCTAATGCAGATGAGCATAAGGAAGAGGAATAGAAATGAGGAATGAAGAGGGAGAGACGAGGAGGAAGAAGAAGAAGGAGGAGAACCACAACATTGATGTATCACTCAACAGCAAATACACAACCAAGGGAAGACCCGCAGTCACCACGTCACCAACCACCCCGCTGTGATACCGACCTCGCCAAGGTCAAACCCACCAACAAACCACATTTACATCACAACACACAGCTAACTTGGCCAGTTTACATCAAGATACTCTAAATCGAGTATTTGGTGAGCTGACCTGGTTATAGCTGTAGAGTAGTGTAGACGATGGATTGACAGGCTAGCGGGTAGTAGACAAAAAGGTTATCGAGATAGTGTTGTGTTTGTGGAATTAACTTGGTCACTTTCTTGAAGGAGGGAAACACGGAAACGAGCTGACGAAAGGGCGGACGAACAAGGTCAGGGTAAATCTAAATTTGGAAAAGGGGGGAAAACGCAAATACAACCTGAAAATAAACTGAGACTCCTGGAAGATAGGAAAGCTACCCGACCTACCACTCAAGAGGACGGGGCCAGGAAGTTCCAACAGACTATGTCTGTGAATCGTTGACGAGGGGTGACAGGCAGGGTGGTGAGATGGCGGGCGGCCTGCCTCCTTATTGTGTGAACAGGATTTAACGAGCTATTAAACAGTTAAAAACATAACATAACGCATCTCGAGTTCCAGTGCGTTATCGACGCCACTCAGTCCCGTAGGGTGGTTACGTGGGGCGTTACAGAGGCTCTCTGGAGACCTCCTTTGATCACGGAGAAAAGTCGTAACTTAAAGGTCACTATCGAGAATCAGGGGAAGGAATACAACCTGCTGGAAGATCTTACGCCATCATTCCTGTTCTTATCGACACGAAGTACTTATTGGTGCGGCTCCTCCTAACGACTGTCTACTACTACTGCTCATGACAGCTAAAATCTTACTGCTGCTGCTGTTGCCTCTCACAACGCCGTATAATCTACACAAGAGGAAACCCGAAGAGTAAAAGAAAAAGAAACCCGGATACCTTTCTTGTGGAGCACCGTGAGTCAGATTGAATACTCGAATCATCGTCCTTACCTTTCGATTACAAAAATGTGTATATAGGTAGGACCTGCTGCGGCATGGTGCTGCTCACTGGTTACGATTTCTGAAGCCCTACAGTACCAGGGTTGGAGTCCTCTTACCGCATAGCAATCGATGGCCATGTTACGAATGACTTAATCCCAGTGAAAAGATCAGCGCTCTCCTCTCCTTCTTCCAACCCCCCCCCCACACACACACACTCAAACACACTGATGCACAGGTGCACGTATCACTGTGGACAGGATGAATCTGCACGTATCACTGTGGACGGGAGGAACCTGCACGTATCACTGTGGACGGGAGGAACTGCACGTATCACTGTGGACGGGAGGAACCTGCACGTATCACTGTGGACGGGAGGAACCTGCACGTATCACTGTGGACGGGAGGAACCTGCACGTATCACTAAAGACGGCAGGAACCTACACGTATCACTGTGAACGGCAGGAACCTGCACGTATCACTGTGGACGGAGGAACCTGCACGTATCACTGTGGACGGCAGGAACCTGCACGTAACACCGTCAGAGGAACCTGCACGTATCACTGGACGGAGGAACCTGCACGTATCACTGAGGACGGCAGGAACCTACACGTATCACTGTGAACGGCAGGAACCTGCACGTATCACTGTGGACGGGAGAACCCACGTATCACGTGGACGGGAGGAACCTGCACGTAACACCGTGGACGGGAGGAACCTGCACGTATCACTGTGGACGGGAGAATCTGCACGTATCACTGTGGACGGGAGGAGCCTGCACGTAACACCGTGGACGGGAGGAACCTGCACGTAACACCGTGGACGGGAGGAACCTGCACGTATCACTGTGGACGGGAGAATCTGCACGTATCACTGTGGACGGGAGGAGCCTGCACGTAACACCGTGGACGGGAGGAACCTGCACGTAACACCGTGGACGGGAGGAACCTGCACGTATCACTGTGGACGGGAGGAGCCTGCACGTATCACTGTGGACGGGAGGAACCTGCACGTAACACCGTGGACGGGAGGAACCTGCACGTATCACTGTGGACGGGAGGAATCTGCACGTATCACTGTGGACGGGAGGAGCCTGCACGTAACACCGTGGACGGGAGGAACGTTCTCATCAACAACATGCAATAAGAAAACACTTCAGTGAGTCACAACAACAACCAATGCCGTTTTAGTAAAGTTAAGTAATAAATAATGCAGTTTTAAGGAAGACAAAAGATATACCATTTTAAGTGAGGTTAGTAACAATAAATATCATTTTAGCCAAGAAGAATAGCAAAAACAACATGCCATTTGAAGCAAAAGCAGTAAACAAAAATCCCCAGTTCAGGCAGAGTAAGAACGGCCATGTAAGGAGGCAGTAGCGAGAGATGTCAGCCCCTCTACCAGTACAATGGCCACTATTTACTCGCGTGTCCCCAGTGACCGCGCACCAACATCTGACCTTACTACTGCCCTACACTTGACACAGTTCTTGGGTGAATCAGATAATATCCAAAGATTTTAGAGTTGCCACAAACAGATCCCTTGGTTGCGGTTCTAATTAACCTGGTCAGAGAATAAAATTGATTATATGCTAGTCGAAGGGTCATTTTCAATCACGATGAAGGCTGCTGATGATCGAAACATAATTATGGGAATAGAAGCCTTATTACCTCAATACACCGGCAGAGGAGCAAATATTATGTGATTATATAACCAGAAAACACAACTACGTGATTAGATGTCATTAGGTTTCAGCCTGTGGTGGCAGGTGGTTTAGAGTGAATACTTTACCTCTGAATCAGAACCAGCCATTCAAGTATACAAGGTGAGTCGAGTGTATACCTAAAGGTCTGTGTGTTGGTGTAAATCATTAAGTGAAACTATAATCTTCGTACATAAGCTGATCCCCAACTTACAAACATCCACCTCCGCGACTCCCAGCGTAAAGAGACAGGAAGTCAAACACTTACATTTGTGACTGGGGTTTGGTGTCTGGCTTCTTGCGTTTCTTGGACACAGCCTGGGTCGGGGAACTCATCTTGACCCATGCCGGGTCCTGCATACACGGGCCCAGCCTGCAAACAACATTAACAAAAGTTAGTACAAAATTACACTGTTACGTCACACTTCCTCATTATTTTTACGTCCTCCCCTCACCGCCTTGAATACCTACCTACACTGAGTCCCCCCCTCATTTTCTCACAGTTCCCCTCCTTCCTCATCTTCTTTCTAAATCTCCAATGTAAACTTTCCCTCTTCTTAACTACTAGAATATGTACTGTATATACTATTACACACACACACACACACATACACAGGTTTTAGCCCAGCGACAGGTGTCACCATCCGTGAGACCGCAGTGCATGTCTATTTTAGGAATATATAACTGATGGTGCAGCAGAACACTCCATTGACGTGTTCCCCACCCACACACCACCTCCCCAAATGAACAACGATGTTATAGAGAAATCCGACGGTGAGAAAGATTTAGGAGTAATGATAAGTAGGAATCTTAAACCAAGTAAACAATGTGTATGTGCTCGAAACAAGACTAACAAAGTACTTAGGTTCATACAAAGGAGTGTTAGTTACAAGACTAGCGAGGTTATCCTAAAACTATATCTTGCGCTTGTGAGACCTCACTTGGATTGCGCAGTTCAGTTCTGGTCACCGTACTACAAAATGGATATAGAATCCCTAGAAAGAATTCAGAGAATGACAAGACTAATCCCGGGCATTAGGAACCTTGAGTACAGAGACAGGTTAAAGCATCTTAATTTGCACTCCTTCCAGAGACGTAGAGTGAGGGACGATATGTTCGAGGTGTATAAATGGAATTCAGGGCTAAACAAAGGTGACATTACAAAGGTACTCAAACTATCCAACCAGAAGCGAACTCGAAACAATGGCTTTAAATTAGACAAATTTAAATTAAGGCGCAAAATTGGTAAACATTGGTTTGGAAATAGAGTAGTGGATGAGTGGAACAAGTTATCAAACATCATCATTAACTCGAATACCCTGGATAGCTTCAAACATAGGTTGGATGGATATATGCTCGATAAGGGTTGGGTGTAAATGATACTGCCCAATATGGACCAATATGCCCGCTGCAGTTTCCTCCATTCTTATGTTCTTATAGTACACCGCATTAATTCACTTGATACACAACAGTAGCGGCTCCTCCCTAACCTTACCACAAAGAGGATCAACCTAGGCATCACTCCCCCACCTATACTACAGTACACTTGCACTTCCCCATCTACACTGCAGTACACTTATAAACACTTTCCCCACCTATACTACAGTGCACTTACACTTCCCCACCTACACTGCAGTACACTTACAATCCCCACCTACACTGCAGTACACTTACACTCCCCACCTACACTGAGGTACACTTACACTTCCCCACCTACAATATGTACTGCACTTACATCCCCCTACTTACATATTCTCACCTACACGACATATACACGTAGCACCCAACATATACAACACAGCAAGCACCTCATGATTTTAAAGTACAACCACGACCACAGGTACATAAATGCATATTGACAAGGAAGCATACAAAAACATGCACACTCACATGTTTTAGTCCAGGGCGTGTTGTCATAGTTTAACACAACAAACACATCTATTACAAGAGTTTGTAGTTTGAAGTAAAAAATAAATAAATAAATAAATCATAGTAAATGGTGGATAACAAATTATTAATTATTGTTTTGGGTTAATAAGAGATCTTCAAAATCGCTTGTCCTCCCGCATGGCAGCCAAGGGAGGGTGTGTGGGTGGCGGCGTAAAAAGTCACCGTGGCGTGGCAATGCCTGTAAGAGGCCGACTACTAGTGCCGGCCGGACTCCTCCCATCACTTATCACAGTCTTAGTTCACCTTCAAAACCACTTGCATTAAGGAAAAGGGGACAGAGGAGGTGGAAGATTGTAAACAGGAGAAGGGCAAAAACGGAAGGGGAAATGACGAAAGGAAGGAGTAATAGTAATGACTGTGGTAAAGGGAGTGACAAATAAGATTTTCCTTCTCAGGAATGTCTGGGTTATTCCCAGTCTCAAGGGAGATAATTTAACACTGGGCTACCGAGGCTTGTCTGTCAGAGGTGCGAAATAGTGATCCTCTGAAGTAAAAGGCCATACACACACACATGACCTTAAAGTTCAACAGCTGAGACCACCGCAACATTAACCCTGAAAAAATTTATATTTGTTTCTCTGCTAGTAGTAGTAGGAGGAGGTAAAGGCTCTTTTATAACCCAAACAGGGCTTTCCTAATACACTATTGCTTAAGTTGTAGACACAGTATATGCGGAGACGTAAGAGGGAAGGAAGTGCCATAGTCTATAAATCGAGTAATGAAAGGGTGAATGATGATGACGTAATACTAGAGGAAACTTCCAGAGTAACGGTGGCATGACGTGTGTTGCGACTGAGGTTGGAAAGTTGGAGGATGATGGATTGGATTTCATTGGCACTCTGACCATGGGAACAGACGGTAGAGAAGGGAAAGTCAAGAGATGGATCGTCATATATAAAGGGAACAATAATAATACGGTACATCTTATTACATACTGCAGTTGTAGACTCAGGTAACGGACACAAATAAGAACATAAGAACATAAGAATGGAGGAAACTGCAGCGGGCCTATTGGCCCATACTGGGCAGTCCCGTTTACACCTAACCCCTATTGCTCATATAAGCATCCAACCTATGTTTGAAGCAGTTCGGCGTATTCGAGTTAATGATGATATTTGGTAACTTGTTCCATTCATCCACTACTCTGTTTCCAAACCAGTGTTTACCTATTTCACGCCTAAATCTAAATTTGTCTAATTTAAAACCATTGTTACAGTTCGCTCCTGGTTGGATAGTTTGAGTACCTTAGTAATGTCCCCTTTGTTTAGCCCTGCCTTCCACTTATACACCTCTATCAGGTCGCCCCTCGCTCTACGTCTCTCAAGGGAGTGCAAATTAAGATGCTTTAACCTGTCTCTATACTCAAGGTTCCTAATGCCCGGGATTAGTCTTGTCATTCTCCTCTGAATTCTTTCCAAGGATTCTATATCCATTCTGTAATACGGTGACCAGAACTGAACTGCGTAATCCAGGTGTGGTCTCACAAGAGCAAGATACAGTTTTAGGATGACCTCGCTAGTCTTGTAACTAACACTCCTTTGTATGAACCCAAGTACTTTATTCGCCTTGTTACGAGCAAAAACACATTGTTTACTTGGCTTAAGGTTCCTACTTATCATTACTCCTAAATCTCTCTCGCAGTCGGATATCTCTATGGCATCGATGTTCATCTGGTATCTGGTTTCCCTGTTTACATCTCCTATACTGAGTACTTTACATTTGTCCACGTTGAATTTCATCTGCCATTTTTCAGACCATTCGAAAAATTTGTTTAGAGCTTCCTGTAGTTTTGCCGAGTCCTCGTCAGATTTGATAACACGTCCTATTTTAGTGTCATCAGCAAATTTACTTATGTTGCTGTCTATGCTGATATCTATGTCGTTTATGTATATAATAAATAATAATCCAAGTACTGAGCCTTGGGGAACTCCACTTGTGACGTTGCTCCAATGGGACTTAGTGCCGTTAATGCTCACTCGCTGTTTCCTGTCCTGTAACCACGCCCTAATCCATTTAAGGATGTCACCTTTGATGCCATGAGCTTCTACCTTTCTAATAAGTCTTTCGTGGGGGACTCTGTCGAAGGCTTTGCTAAAGTCGAGATATACCACATCATAATTGTGCCCCTCGTCCACAGGTACGGACGGCATCAAATTTTCAACGATGAATTTAGAACAAGTACTGTACTGGTCAGCCAAAAACATATACACACATTTCAAACACCCACGTCCAAGTACTATAATGCTAATTATAATGATCGCTCGTCGCGTTCGAGGATGGCCTACGCCTAGGACCACCTAGGCATGGATTAGTTTAAGGTGTGGAAACTGTCACCCAAAAAACAACCACACCCTGTTTTAATGAGTTGTATGACCCAGTGTTAATAGTCCGAGAAGACCGGGCAACTCGCCAACTGCACTGGCTAACCATTACCCCGGAACACGATCCGCAAATCGATTATCATCCAGGTTCTCAATTACTGCTGGGTAGATAGAGGTAAACAGCGAAAAAAAAAAAATGCCCATAATTTCACCCTGCCGGGTCCACTCGCTTGCGAGGCGAGCATGCTCATTATATATATATATATACATATATATATATATATATATATATATATATATATATATATATATATATATATATATATATATATATATATATATATATATATATATATATATATATATATATATATATATATATATATTCTGGTATGACACTAATGTAGGTACAATCCATTAGTCATTGACTCGAGGCTGTGTGTGTGTGTGTGTGTGTGTTATATGACCTACTTTTGACCATGCATTTATGACACCGATTTTTTACTATCACAAACCGATTTGGACTCTTTAATACCCGATTTTGACGATCCATTTGTCCTCGCTCACCTCATATTAATTTCTTCTTTTGCTGCCTTCCTCCCTTACAGTCATACACCATACACCTGGTGAAGGTAAGAGAGCCCTGGTTCAGTTACAACAGAAACCCGGTTGAAGGTGGCAGCTGTGGCCAGAGTAAGTATGTCGTCTTAGTCTTCTACAAAAAGGTGTGTGTGTGAATAATATGTAAACACACGAGTAAGTGTAGTAGATAGTTAATATGTGTACAAGAGGGGGCTGCAGCAGCCTGGCGTTTAGTCAAGTGTTAAAGTAACTAGATGATGTTAACCCATAAGACGATCACACACCACACCTGTGATTGTATACGGTGTGTGTGTGTGTGTGTCGCGCGCGCCTGAGGACATTGGTGTACCCAGGTTAGTGTACACAGGCGTGTATTAGCGGTGTGGGTGCGAGACGGAGGAGCACATGCGGGAGTGTGGTGGTGGGAGGATACACACGCACACGCGGCTCCAGCCACCACCTGTTACACGCCCTGCCGCAGCTGCCCTCTCCCCACGCCGCCACCACCACTACCTCCCTA